AGGGGGAGGTGCGGTAGTGCGCCATCACCTCCCGCAGCGTCTCGTTGAAGTTGTCCCTGTCCCAGGGGCCCGTGATGTTCCAGCCGCCCAGCTAGGGAGAGAGCGTCCGGAAGGGTTCGCGCTCGGCTTCGGATACGCCGCAACCGCGTGGGCTTGCTTAGACATCCCCCAGGGGCAGGCAAAATTGTTGCAATAGGGCCAAAAAGCCTGGGAGAGGGAAATCACTGCAAATCACTGCCTCCCTCTGCTTGCCGGCCCCGGGCGATGCTCTGCGAGGGCCGGAGATGCCCGATGGCGTGCCAGCGCGCGAGATGAGCGCAGGAACTACCCCGAGACGAGCTGGGGAGGGCAGAAAGGTAGAAACTCCCTTTTTTTTCCCCCTCCCTGCTGCTGCTTTGCAAAGGCTCCAGCCGCCCTGCGGGGTTTCCCTGCCCGGCATTCCCGCGGGACGGGGGCTGTTCCCGCGCCCAGGGCAAACCTTTTGGATGAGCTCCACAAGCGGGGTGGCGCGCAGCTCCTCGATCTTGCTCTCGTTCATGCAGGCCTGGTAGTAGCGCTGCGCCTTGCGCTCCGCTTCGCTCGACACGTTGGCCGTGGTGTTTTCTGCACGACGCACCAGGGTGGGGGGGTCAGCCCGTGGCGTGCTGGGGTGCTCCGCCGGGCACCAAAAAGACGCCGGGGTTGCTCTGCCGGTCCCCTTTGTGCCAGCAAGGGCATCCTGCGGCGCCTGGCCTCCCCCCAGCGCGGCCCCTGTCTCCCTCCCTCCCCCCCTCCCCTCCCTCTCGCCGGCAGCGGCTGCTCCGGCTCTCCGGAGGAGAGAGATAAGGAAAGAAAAACAAAAAGTGTTTTTCCAGGAGCTCTGATGTTCCTGCCCTCGCCCCCGCGCTGCCGGCTTTCTCCCCAGTTGCATTATTTATTTCTCCGCCTGCCTGCAGGCTGCAAAAAGCAACAGTAAACCAGTTTGCTACCTCTTAAACTACTTTTCCCCCCGCTAAGAATCCTGCTTTCCTCCAGGTTTTCCTGCCTCATTATGCAGCTCGTACCTAACACTTCACCTTTCCCAGTTTGAAAAACCTGCCAGTGCTATTCCAGCTCCCCGGGACCTTGGCCCAGCACCCCAAAACCCCTCGGGGTGCATCGCTATCCCCCCGCGTAAGCGGCTGGGGTCTGGGCAGGGGTTTCGTTAACCTGGATCCCCTGGTGAAGAGGCATTAATGGAAGTGCTGAGCGTGACCGCTCGGCCGGCGGCCCCGCTCCCTTCTCGCTGCGAGCCTCGTGCCAGCTTTCCGCGGGAACGGCTGGGCGGCAAGGCCGTTCTCCCTCCCCGAAGCTCTTCCCTTTCGGCTCGTCG